AACCCAGTTGCCTAGGATATGGATCATCCATTCAAGGTAGCAGATTGAGAAAGAAGACTATTTAAAGCAAGCGACTAATTTTAAATATTATTTGAGATATGTAATGAATAATTTTTTGTCTTAATAAAAATTCATATTTATTTGATTTTGAGTAGGTTTATGAAATGTTAAATATTTTTTAGAGCAATGCAAAAATAGTTATTAATTTTTATAAAGTTTATTTTTTATACTCATTAAGTTTGATTTTTTATTCAGTAAATTAGTATCTATTTTTCTTTTCATCTTTGATTTTGAATATAAACAAGTATTTTTGGTGATTTTTAAAACTTTCACTTAGGCTCCATTCAGGACAATTTTCTTACTACTTTCTAGAAAAGCTTTCAAGCACAAAAAAATATGAAATCATAAAAAATGTTGTGCATGGAAGAGATGAATCAACCACCCAACTTGGTATATTTAAATATCTACAATGTAGTTTAAAGATTAATTGCACATCATACTCTTACAAAATTTAAATTTCAAGACAAAATAGTAAGCTAATGTTTACTGATTATCATAAGCATGAATGTACCAATTTCATATAGCATTTGTGAAGAAATGAAAAAGCTAGAACACAAAGAATTTATGTGGTTGGAGTTCTTCTGAACTCTACATCCATGGGGATACCTCGTTCATCATCCTTTTAAAATTATATGTTAAGAAATTGCTCTAATAACTTTCTAACAGTAGCCTTCACATAGTCAAAAACATATATATATTGCTTATAACATTATAAATACACCATAAACATCTAAAAAGATCTTCAACAAACACAACAAGAAATTATCTCACATAGAGAAGAAGATGTAGAAAACCGGGTAAATAAGAGAACAAAACACCCAAATCTTGAGCAACAAATACAATGCACCGATCTTTCTAGACTAGATATGAGAGATATGCTTGTATATCCAGCATATAGCTAAACTTTTCAAAAGAACAAGTTCTTAAGGCACAAATCAAGCTTCCAACTAACAATCTCTTATGATTATCTTTCTCAAAGAAGAAGAATAAGCTAGAGAGGAATAAAAAAGATGTATATTCTTCACAACACACAAGAAGCCAAGCAACATTAAGCCCTTGTTCTTCTTGAAAAAAACTCTCGCTCACACACGAATCACAAGCAACACACCCGCAGCCTATTTTCTCTCTTTCTCAAAACCCACTTTGCCTTGGTGGATAATAAGTTAAGTTAGAAACACAAAAATGACTCAAATGATAAGCAAGAAATAAGATAAGATAAGATAAGCACAAAATTTATGAATTAAAGAAATAATAATAAATACTTTAATTAAATTAATAAACTTAATAATTAGTTTAATTAAAAATACTTTAATTTTAAATCACTTCTATAAAAAAATACCAAAAGCTATTTCAGACGAAGGCCAATCTACTAATTTTTAATAACCACTAAATTATCATTTGATTTGATTTCGTATCAGTACCATTGTTTACAGTTAACCCAATAGCGTTTAGCTTAACTAGAAACTCTGTAACTTAGTTGTTCCGTAGCTATATTGTACACCATTTTATTTCTATTTATATGCTTGTATACTGTATGTAAAATAATAAGAATCATTTCCACTTTCTTGTCTCTACTTCTGCTCGTGGGTTCTTGTTCGTCTCTCGTGCCGTGCTTTCAAGATATCAGAGCAAAGATAAGTTCCTCTTCTACCTTTTCTTATTTCTTTTTCATTTCTTCAGATCCATATTTCTCTCGTTCAGCTTTTCTTTTGCTTTCGCCGCTTCTATGGCTAAATCTTCCACCACATTGCCTGTTAATTCAAAATCCCAAAACTCTTTTCCTCCCGTAGACATTCCACTCCAACTCAAATTTGTTCTCAATAACATCAAAAATCTTGTCTCTAATTCCCTTATAGCTGACAATTACCCCTTATGGAAGTCTCAAATTGAGAAAATCTTTATCGCCAACGGCTTCAAAGGCTTTCTTGATGGATCGCAAAAACCGCCCGATGACAATGACCCACCTTATCTTCATGGAATCTCCTTGATCAAAATCTTTCTGCTGCCTTACTCTCCATTATTACACCTTCCATTCTACCCTATGTTTTTTCTTAGACAAATTGTGCTGATATATAGGCTACCCTTACTCAACGATTGCAAGCTTCAACTCGATCTCACATTATTCAATTAAAGAATGAGCTTCATCATCTTTCTAAAGGTGAACAATCCATGTCCCAATATCTTCTCACCGTCAAGTCCAAGATTGATGCTATTTCTGCCGCTGGCAGCACTATAGACCCGAATGATGTTATACTTTACACGTTGAATGGTTTACCTGCAACCTACCAAGCTTTCAAAACTGCCATCCGTACCAATCTCTAACCTATAAATCTTGATGACCTCTACACACTTCTTTGTAGTGAAGAAGTGAATCTTGCCCAGGAATCCTCAAAAGAACTTCAATCGCTTCATATTACTGACAGCACTTTGGCTCTTACGGCTAACCGAAATCGTGGACGGGGACGGAACAATGCCTATCGTGGTCGTTCTTACAATCGCACCTCTCGGCCAGCAAATCAGTCTGACATAACTAAAAAATAGCAAAATAAAAAATATAATTTGCCAAATCTGTACAAAAAGAGGTCGCTCTGCTGTGAAGTGTTGGTATCGTCAAGAAAATGCATCCAATCAAGCCTTTTGCACTCCAACCGAACAACCCCGTCAATCCGATTGGTTTCTGGACAGTGGAGCTTCTACACACCTTACTTCAGATCCCTCTCAATTTTCTTCTATTGCACCTTATAACGGTAATTCTCAAGTTACCTTAGGTAACGACTCTCGCATTTCCATACATCATACGGGTAAAGGGCTGCTTCAAACTCCCTCAGGTAGTCTCCAACTGAACAATCTTCAGCATGTATCGAATTTATCTTTTAATCTTTTATCGATTCACCAACCAACTCGTGACAATTCTTGTATCGTTGTTTTTCTTCACATGGTTACCAAATCCAGGACTTGAAGACCAAGAGGATTCTTCTTCAAGGTCCTTGCCATATGGAGTCTACCACATTTCCTCTTCTACTCCTCCTTTTGCACTTGCATTACTTTTGGTGCAAACTATTCCTGATCTTTGGCATGGGCGTCTTGGTCATCCAGACACATGCAAGATCCTTTCTCTTGCTCTGTTACATTCTTATATTCGTTCCAATGTTACTACTCATTCTTGTAATACTTGTAACCTTGCAAAAATTCATAGATTGTCTTTCTCTAAATTAATTTCTAGGTGATCTTCTTCTTTTGAAATTGTGCATTCTGATGTTTGGGGTCCATCCCCTACTGTTTCTTTGCAAGGCTTTATGTACTTTGTCTCGTTTATTGATGATTATACTAAATACTGTTGGGTGTTTTCGCTTGTGCAAAAATCCGACATTTTTTCTAAGTTTCTAGAATTTTACAATTTTATTAAATGTCAATTTAACAAACACATTCAAACTCTTCGAACAGACGGTGGTGGAGAGTATATTAATAACCAATTTCAAAAGTTTTGTAAACTGTCGGGTATGCATCATCAATATTCTTGCCCTTATACGCCCTCTCAAAACGGCATTGCTGAAAGAAAGAATCATCACATCCTTGAGAGAATTTGAAGTCTCTTAATTCACTCAAATGCTCCTCAGCGGCTATGGATTCATGCTTTATCTACTGCTATTCACATTATTAACCTTCTACCTAGCCGCACACTACACAACAAAACTCCTCATGAGCTACTTTACAACAAATTACCAACGTACACTCATCTTAAAATGTTCGGATGCCTTTGTTATCCTTGGCTATGACCACATGCCAAGTCCAAACTTGATTCCTTTTCTAAACCGTGTGTTTTTGTCGGTTATGGTACCTCTCAAAAATTTTATCTTTGTTTAGATCCTATAACCAACAAAATTTATAGCTCACGACATGTCGTGTTTAATGAACAAATCTTTCCTTGTATTCAAATTCAAAAACCATCCACAACCTCAGTGGCTGTCGTTTCTCTTCCTCCTCTTCTTTTAGTTCCTTCATCTCTCATAAATTCTACACCTAAACCTGCAGTTTCTATTCAAAAGCCTTCTCAGCCGACCTCCAAACAACTTATATCTACGACTCTTCCCACTAGCAGTAATTCTCCTCAACTCACTAGCTATCAACTTCACAATTCACCTGACCACATCTCTACTTCTCCTTTATCTACTCTTGTTCTTCCCAAACATCCCATGATCACTCGGTTGCAAACAGGGAATTTAAAACCCAAACGAATTTTCAACCTTATGCACCAAATCACCAATCTAGATCCTACATCCTACACTCAAGCTTCCAAACATCAACATTGGCGCTCTGCCATGTTGCAAGAATTCCAAGCTCTCCAATCTCAAGGAACTTGGGATCTTGTTCCCTTCTCTCCTACTCAAAATATTTTAGGTTGTAAATGGATATTCCACACGAAATTTAACTCTGACGGATCTGTTGCTAGACACAAGGCTCGACTTGTAGCTCTCGGTTATAATCAAGAATTTGGTTTGAATTACAACGAAACTTTCATTCCTGCCACCAAGATACCTACCTTTCGCATTCTCATTATTCTCTCCTTACAAAACCATTGGCCAATTCATCAACTCAATATATCAAATGTTTTTCTCCATGGCTCCCTCCACGAAACAGTTTATATGTGTCAACCACCTGGATTTATAGATGAACTCCATCCAAATCACGTATTCAAATTAAACAAAGCTCTATATGGTCTTAAGCAATCACCACGACAATGGTTTGTTACGCTTACTGGTTTCTTGCATAACCAAGGATTCACTATAAGCAATTTAGATCCTTCTCTTTTGATCTACCATACTTCCAACACATAAATTTATTTTCTTATATATGTGGATGATATTATAGTGACAGGGAATAATGTCCAAGCAATACAACTTCTTCTCAACAAACTACATCAGCAATTCAACATGAGAAATATGGGAACAATTTCTCAATTCCTAAGTATCACAGCTGTTCCAACACCGGCTGGACTCATACTTCATCAAAACCGATACGCTCAATCTATTCTCCAACGTGCGGGCATGCATTGCAAAACGGTTAACACGCCAATAACAGATAAGTCTCACAAAACCACCAACTATTCCAGTTTATTTTTCGATCCTTTATTGTATAGACAACTGGTTGGTTCTCTTCAATATCTTACACTAACTCGTCCTGATATATCCTATGCGGTAAACAAAGCCTGTCAATACATGCATAGGCCCACTGACTCAAATTTTGAAGGCGTCAAACACTTTCTTCGATATATCAAGGGATCTATGCATCATGGCTTACCTTTATCTCGCAATTCTCTTGAACTGACTTCTTATGTTGACTTAGATTGGGTAGGAGATCAACAAGACAAAAAATCAACAACTGGCTACTGTACTTTTCTTGGATCATCTCTTATCTCCTGGAGTGTCAAGAAACAAAAGACCATCGCAAGATCTTCTACTAAAGAAGAATATCGCGCTTTAGCCACTACTGCAGCTGATCTTATTTGGCTCTGCCAACTTCTTCAAGAACTAGACCGTCCTCAATATGCACCAACAAATCTTTTATGTGACAACACATCTGCCATTGCACTGGCCAATAATCCAGTTTTCCATGCTCGAACAAAGCACATTGAAATTGATTGTCACTTCATCCGCGAATGCATCAAGAACAAAACAATCTATGTTCACCATATCTCTACCAAAGACCAGCTTGCAGATATATTTACAAAACCTCTTTCAATGGAACGATTTCAACACATCAATCTCAAACTAACTTCGTCCTCTGACTCATCAGTTTGCCAGGGGGTGTTAACCCAATAGCGTTTAGCTTAACTAGGAACTCTGTAACTTAATTGTTCCACAGCTATATTGTACTCCATTTTGTTTCTATTTATATGCTTGTATATTGTAGGTAAGATAATAAGAATAATTTCCACTTTCTTGTCTCTGCTTCTGCTCATGGGTTCTAGTTCATCTCCCGTGCCATGCTTTCATTTACAACAAATGAATTTAAATTCTTCGTGTAATCGGTGATAAACAATATGGAACGAATGCATTGATAAAAAAACATTAAAATATTTAAAATTATATCATCTTCTTTTTATCTTATTTTTATTGAAATGTAAAAATTACGTGCAAAAATTTTCCCAATTTTAAAAATGGATCAAATTCAGTAGCAATTGAAAGCAAGAGTGTCAAAAATTAACTTAACTCGATAATATGGCCCGAACTCAGATAAAAAAAATATGAATTTTGGGTTTACATGATTAATTTTCTGGTCGGGATCAAATTAAAAATTTTGAATCTATAAAGTTTCGAGTTAAATTGAACAATTTTTGAAGCACAAGTTTGTTGATGGAGCCATTCATCTCAAAATTTTGATATTATTAATATTTCTTTTGGGATGATTTTTTATTAAAAAGTTGCTTTAAGAAGCAATAAGAAATCCGTTTCAAACGAAATCTAAATTGGGCTTAGACATTTGTTAGGTATTCATGAGTAAAACACATAAAATGGAAATTTAAAAGAAAACAATAAAAAGAACAGATTGTCGGAATCTCCTAACAAGTTAAGTATCCATTATTAAAAGCTTTAATTCCACATGTAATAATAAAATCTTGCTTCATTGCCACCAAGACATCATGAGTGCTTGTAAACCTAACAAGGCATCTATGTTTTCATAGTTTATTCATGCCTAGGAAAATGTTCAAGCTTCAATATGATAAAAACACACTCAAACACTGATTTTATGTAGCCCTTAAAAAAGAAAAAGTAAAATCAAAAGTAGAAGGGAAGATAAAGTACATTACTATACAAGAAAGTTATATTAAGCTATCATTTGAGATAATTTTCTTCATGCTGTCTAAAGCTGTATTTTAATACAATAATTTCTTTATTAAAAAAAATGTATCAGAAAGCTATTTTAGAAAGTAGTAAAAAAACGGTCTCAAACGAAGCCTAAAATTATATATATACAGGAAAAACAGTGAAAACCGGCGGTTTGAACCGGCGGTTTAGAGGCCGTCGGTATTCTCCTCAACTCACTACCTATCAACTTTACAATTCACCTGACCACATCTTTGCTTCTCCTTTATCTACTCCCGTTATTCCCAAACATCCCATGATCACTCGGTTGCAAACAGGGAATTTAAAACCCAAACTAATTTTCAACCTTACGCACCAAATCACCAATCTAGATCCTACATCATACACTCAAGCTTCCAAACATCAACATTGGTGCTCTGCCATGTCGCAAAATTCCATTCTCTCCAATCTCAAGGAACTTGGGATCTTGTTCCCTTCTCTCCTACTCAAAACATTTTAGGTTGTAAATGGATATTCCACACGAAATTTAACTCTAATGGATCTGTTGCTAGACACAATGCTCGACTTGTAGCTCTCGGTTATAATCAATAATTTGGTTTGGAATACAACGAAACTTTCAGTCATATCGCCAAGATACCTACCTTCCGCATTCTCATTATTCTTGCCTTACATAAACATTGGCCAATTCATCAACTCAATATATCAAATGCTTTTCTCCATGGCTCCCTCTAAGAAACAATTTATATGCGTCAACCACCTGGATTTATAGATGAACGCCATCCAAATCACGTATGCAAATTAAACAAAGCTCTATATGGTCTTAAGCAATTACCACGACAATGGTTTGCTACGCTTACTGGTTTCTTTCATAACCAAGGATTCACTATAAGCAATTCAGATCCTTCTCTTTTGATCTACCATACTTCTAACACATAAATTTATTTTCTTATATATGTGGATGATATTATAGTGATAGGGAACAATGTCCAAGCAATACAACTTCTTCTCAACAAACTACATCAGCAATTCAACATGAGAAATCTAGGAACAATTTCTCAATTCCTAGGTATCACGACTGTTCCAACACCGGCTGGATTCATACATCATCAAAGCCGATACGCTCAATCTATTCTCCAACGTGCGGGCATGCTTCATTGCAAAATGGTTAACACACCAAATACAGATAAGTCTCACAAAACCACAACTCTTCATGTTTATTTTCTGATCCTTTATTGTATAGACAACTGGTTGGTTCTCTCCAATATCTTACACTAACTAGTCCTGATATATCCTATGCGGTAAACAAAGTTTGTCAATACATGCATAGGCCCACTGACTCAAATTTTGAAGGCATCAAACGCATTCTTCGATATATCAAGGGATCTATGAATCTTGGCTTACCTTTATCTCACAATTCTCTTAAACTTACTTCTTATGTTGACTTACATTGGGCAGGAGATCAACAAGACATAAAATCAATAACTGGCTACTGTACTTTTCTTGGATTATCTCTTATCTCATGGAGTGTCAAGAAATAAAAAACCATCGCAAGATCTTCTACTGAAGCCGAATATCGCGCTTTAGCCACTGCTGTAGCTGATCTTATTTGGCTCCGCCAACTTCTTCAAGAACTAGACTGTCCTCAATCTGCACCAACAAATCTTTTCTGTGACAACACATCTGCCATTGCACTGGCCAACAATCAAGTTTTCTATGCTCAAACAAAGCACATTGAAGTTGATTGTCACTTCATCTGCGAATGCATCAAGAACAAAACAATCTATGTTCACCATATCTCTACCAAAGACCAGCTTGCGTATATATTTACAAAAACTCTTTCAATGGCACGATTTCTACACATCAATCCCAAACTAACTTCGTCCTCTGACTCATCAGTTTGCCAGATGTGTTAACCCAATAGCGTTTAGCTTAACTAGGAACTCTATAACTTAGTTGTTCCGCAGTTATATTGTACACCATTTTATTTCTAGGTAAGATAATAAGAATCATTTCGACTTTCTTGCCTTTGCTTCTGCTCGTGGGTTCTTGTTCGTCTCCTGTGCCATGCTTTCATTTACAACAAATGAATTTAAATTCTTTGTTTAATCGGTGATAAACAATATGGAACGAATGCATTGACAAAAAATTATTAAAATATTTAAAATTATATCATGTTCTTTTTATCTTATTTTTATTCAAATGTAAAAATTACGTGCAAAAATTTTCACAATTTTAAAAAAGGATCAACTTCAGTAGCAATTGAAACAGGAGTGTCAAAAAGTAACTTAACTCGACAATATGGCCCGAACTCAGCTAAAAAATATGAATTTTGGGTTAACATGATTAATTTTCTGGTCGGGATCAAATTAAAAATTTTGAATCTATAAAGTTTCGGATTAAATTGAACAATTTTTGAAGCACAAGTTTGTTGATGGAGCCATTCATCTCAAAATTTTGATATTATTAATATTTCTTTTGGGATGACTTTTTACTAAAAATTTGCTTTAAGAAGCAATAAGAAAGCCATTTCAAATGAAATCTAAATTGGGCATAGACATTTGTTAGGTATTCATGAGTAAAACACACAAAATAGAAATTTAAAAGAAAAAAATAAAAAGAACAGATTGTTGGAATCTCCTAACAAGTTAGGTATCCATTATTAAAAGCTTAATTCCACATGTAATAATAAAATCTTGCTTCATTGCCACCAAGACTTCATGAGTGCTTGTAAACCTAACAAGTGATATGTCATGAGGCATCTATGTTTTCATAGTTTATTCATGCCTAGGAAAATGTTCAAGCTTCAATATGATAAAAACACACTCAAACACTGATTTTATGTAGCCCTTAAAAAAGAAAAAGTAAAATCAAAAGTAGAAGGCAAGATAAAGTACATTACTATACAAGAAAGTTATATTAAGCTTTCATTTGAGATAATTTTCTTCATGCTGTCTAAAGCTGTATTTTAAAACAATAATTTCTTTATTAAAAAAATTGTATCAGAAAGCTATTTTAGAAAGTAGTAAAAAAACTGCCCAAATGAAAGCTAAAGCATCATTTGAGGTAGCTTTTGGTCATTATTTTTTCGCTTTTTTAAGAAAATTATTAACTAAAAATTACCTTTAGAAAATAGCTAAGAAAATTGTCCCAAATTAAGCCTAAATAAAAGGCCATATTCAACCAAAGTTATGAAGATTTGCTCATCCATAGAATTTGTTGAATCAAGCACCCAAATGATACTCACTCCTCCATTGCATATGAAAGAACTCAGTTAAATAAGCCAAACTCTCACTCTATCTTCTTGTTGTTTTTAATAAAATCATTCTTTATTAAGATTTTAAAAATTTTAAATATCAACTCTATGGTTTATGATTGTGGCTAGAAAATATGATAAATTGAAGTGATTGAAAAAGATTGTATATTGTAATTGGGAAATACAACTAATATACAATAAATATTTTATTACTCTCCCATTTATTGATCACCATATCAATCATAGTCGAGTGATGTCAATGAAAATTCTTGAGCTGAAACCCACACTAATATCAATTGCTTTAATCCAAAAAAAAAAACACACACACACAATTAAATGTTGATGGAAGAAAATTCTCATTACTACAAGAAAAATATAACGAGGTAAGAAGATATTCTCAACCTATTATAACCAAATTATTAATATTATTAGAAGAATAATCACTCAAAAGGAACTGTCACACTCAGTATATCCAGTGAAACCTTTAACAAAATTGATGAATCTTATAGTCTGTCATCATGTGGCCTTCAACAAAATCCTTATGTATCTAAGGTTTTTATAATCTTAATTATGAACTAATCTTTGGCAATTAAACAAGGATGTTGATAGAAGATAAATTGCAGACAAAAAATTATAATTAAATGAGTGATTTATAGCCAATAAATGGTGGTTGAAATTAGAATGTGCCTAACTTAACTTTCATAATTGTCCGTTTTATTGGCAGTGTAGTCAATTGATTTCA